TTTTTTTTTTGTGGACCAGGGATTGAACTCAGGCCCTTGCGCTTGCCAGGGAAGCACTTATTCCACTGAGCCATCTCCCCAGCCCCCTAATGGAATAAGGATTTTTTTTTTTTTTTTTTTCTCCGAATGCCCTCAGGGGTGGTTTGGCTGGCTGGAGTGTTGTGGGGGTCGAACTACAGCAACCTGAGGCTGAAAGCTTTAACGGTTATTTTCTTAAGCAGCCCTCATCACAATCTGGAGACCTGACTTCCATGAGCCTTTTTTTCTGAAAACAGATTTCATCAACTACTACTCCTTAGAAGAAAGATGAAATGATCCTTAGAAACCTTTCTATACTTGGCTCTAGGAACAACCAAAGTATCCCAGCAGGTGAGATTTCATCCTGCTCTACAACTCCCTCTACAGCCCAGGAGAAAGTGGCCACATCCCAACAGCATCTCATAGGACCTCACCGCAGCTGGGCCAGGAACACCTCCATCACTCGCACCATGTCCACCTCGACTCTCACTGGCTGCTCTGAGACATTGTAGGCTTTGGGGTCAACATTATATACCTGAAAGAGGGGAATGAGGTTGCCACAACGTCACATCTCATCACACACAGCTCTATCCTTGACACACTGGAGGCCATGAGACAGAAGGATGAGGATTTTTCTGTTCTCTAGGAGATATGTATCCCGTGGCATCACTTTTTTTTTTGAAAAGCTACTATAAGGAGCTTTAAGTAAATTATCTTATTTAACCCACTAAGAATCCTGTTAAGTATTTTTTTTTATCCAATTTGAGAATTCCCTCCCATGAGAAATACCCAGTATAACAGGAATGATAAGGTTCTCAACCTTGCAAGGCTCCCACAGGTAGAGCCACATAAGGTGGACACAGGGTAGTCCTAAGTGCAAACTGACAAGTGCAAAGAGTCACAGTTCAGAAAACACTGACAGAAATAAGAGATGGAGGGGCTGGCAGAGAAGAGGCACAGAAATGCAGCACCCTCCCTCCCTGCTATCACCCGGGCTGTAGGTCCTGCATAGTGTGATTATTACCATAATGCCGCCCCAGCGGGGACTGTGGAAGGCATTGGTGGCCACTGGAGCCCCATCCCTGTCCTGAATGTACAGCGGGGAGTGGGCAAGCTCAGGCACATAGAGTAAAAAGTTGAGCACGGGGTACAGGGAAGCAGCACTGGATCCTGTAATACAAAGAGAAAGGAAGTCAGGATACTAAAACATACTGGATGTAGAGTTCAATGCCAAGTCAGCCTCTCACTTGCTGGCCACTCCCTCTGTACTCAGTTTCCTGGACTGATCATCATTAGGACATTATCCCATCAAGTCCTAAATTTCCATGATAAAGAACCTTGAAGCCTCCCCCAAGATGTGCCACACAAATGCATGCATAGTCTTTAACCCCAGTGCCCCTGGAATCTCCTCCCCTTGACTGCTTAGAAAGCCTTCATAGCCACCATAACAAGGCATACTGTTGCTACAACTAGCTTTATGCACAAGAGCAATGTACTCTCATGTCAGTTCCCTGCTATTCTTCAATGGTTAGCAATTCACATCAGGTTTAAATTTAAGCTCCTTAGCATGGTCCTTTATGATCTAGCGCCTGCCTGCCTTGCATTTCATCATAGGACACTCATCACATTTCAGCCGCAAAAAGGTGCTCAGCTTGCTTGCTTGCTTGCAAGATTCTCCCTCCCCAATGCTCAGCTTTCTGAATGTCTATGCTCTTACTCTTCAATATCTAAGCTCCTGGTTCCCTCTGCCTGAATTATCCTCCATCTCTGTACTTAACATGCCACAAAGCAGTCCCTCAGTGAATTCATTCAATGTTTGCTAAATGAGTCAAAGAATGGGCCTGGGATATAGCTCAGTAGCACAGTTTGTCTAGCAAGCACAAAGTCCTCAGTTCAATTCCTGATTAAAAAAGAAAAGAGGGGGGGCTGGTGAGATGGCTCAGTGGTCTAAAGCACCTACTTAGAACAAGCTAAGCTAAGCAAAGCACAGGGACCACGGTTCAATCCCCCAGCACCGCCGGGGAGATGGCTCAGTAGAATAAGCGCTTCCCTAGCAAGCACAAGGGCCTGAGTTCAATCCCTGGTTCCGCCAAAAAAAAAAAAAAAAATCCTGTTTTCCCATTTCTGGATTCTGTCTAATATTCCATAGATACATATGCCTATCTCGGCCTACAACTTTCCAAATAAAGCCCAGAATTAGCTTCTGTGTGATAAATGGAAAAAAAAAAAAAAAATCCCCCAGCACCACATGCCAGCCAGCCCCGCCCCCTGGTGGGCTGAGCCAGCCACACACAGACACAAAATAAATAAATAAATAAATAAATAAATAAATATTAAAAAAAAAAGAAAAGAGGGCCTGTGAAATAGCTCAGTAGATTCAAGCACCTGCTTAGGCAGAAGCAGTGGTCAGGGTAAGATCCCTGGCACCAGTGCCGGCCCTGCCTCCAGAGCACTCTGAGACAGCAATTGAGACTAGGAGTGGTGGCGCACGCCAGTAATCCCAGCTCTTGGGAGGCTGAAAACAGGAGGATCACTATGAGTCCAATCTATGTAGTGAGACCCTGTAGACCCTATCCTAAAATACAAACAGAAATAAAAATTTAAAAACAATAAATAAAGAAGAAATTTTGACAGGTAGCATAAGCCTATAATCCCAGCACCTGGGAGACTGAGGCAGAAGGAGCATTGTGAGTTCGAGAACAGCCTGGACTACAAAGTGAGCTTAAGGCCAGCCTGACCTGCACAGCAAGACTCTGTCTCAAAAAGAAAAAAAGGGACCGGGGAGAAAGCTCAGTAGAATAAGCACTAGTCTGGCAAGTGCAAGGGCCTGAGTTCAATCCCTGGTTCCGCCAAAAAAAAAAAAAAGAAGAAAAAAAAAATCTAAAAAAGAAAGAATGAATGCAGGAGGAATTTGTTAAGGTCTTATAACCTTAACACCCATCTTACAACCTACGATCTATACTGGTCTAGCTCTGGGCCTAAAATTCTAATAGCATTGATTTACATCCAACTTTGGGTTTTTTGGGGTTTTTGTATTTTAGGGAAGGGTCTACAGGGTGTTCAGGGTCTCACTACTAGGCCGGCATGGCAAGCCCAGGGATCGAACCCTCAGCCCCTATGCCTGCTTACAGATACTGCAATCCACTGAGCTACTTGGCTGGCCCTTATAGCCCACTTTAGTTTGCCTAGATTACAGTTCTTGGCCACATCTACTTTTCTTAGATTCCACCCCCAAAATAAAAAACCCTATAATCCTAGATTCAGCATCCCCCCACCTCCATTAGCTGAACTGTCATTTCTAAATCTTCCTTCATGTACTTTTTGTGCCTTTCCTACATGCATGACCATATCACTCCTAGGTAGCTTTCAAGGAGGGAGACTCAGCTTAGCTATTTGTAAATGTACTGGAAACTGAGCCAGACATGGTGGTGCTCACCTATACTCCCAGCTACGAGAGTAGCTGAGGCAGGAAGGTTGGAAATCAAAGCCATGCTGGGCCACTCAGCAAAGCCCTGTCTCAAAATAAAAACTTAAGGGACAGGGATGAAGTTCTGGGCTCTCTGTGTTCAATCATGGTACTGTTTTTTTTGTTTTAAAAAAAAGTACTGGGAATGTTTAATAAACAACTTGGATAAGACAGATATATTGTAATCTCAGCACTTGCAAGCTGAGGCAGGAGGACTACCACAAGTTCAAGACTAGCCTGGACTACAGAGCAAGATCCTATCTGGAAAAAAAAAAATTAAAAATTGAAAAAATAAAAAGATGAATGTAAAGATGGAGGGGACATCCATGGAGCAGCATGAAAAAGGGACCAAAATCCCCCTGCCCCCTCAGACCAACACAGCTTAGAAAGCATCATTATACACAACTTGGAACTATCACTGTGCACAACCGTCTCCAGCCCCACATGCTGTGCCTTCAGGGTCCCTCCTTGGCCTGGCAGAAAAACCCTGGTCCTTTGGAGCTCACCAAGCCGGGACTCCACGGGGTTGATAACATGGGGGAGGCTGTGCATGGACAAGTAGTAGCTGGATGAAGCCGGGTCAAAGCGGGGATTTACCCCCAGCATTGCATAGTACAGAATCTGTGGAGCAAAGAGAGGGAAGATTATTGTATGCATTCATTTATAGCCCACTTTCGCTAAAAAAAAAAAAGTAATGAGATGCTTTACAATAATACAGTCCGCCTAAGATGTTTGATATCCAGACAGACAGTGAGGTTAAGCTTAACAGCCTAAGTTGTACGGTAATAACAATAAGCTTGTCTTCTGGATGGTTAACAACCTAAGTTTGCAGACCAAAATTAGATGAAAAGGAGGGCTGCAAGGAAAGCCAACATTTTGGCCCTAGCCTTCCAAGGTCTATTAAGACTCAGGACATATGAGAACTTGTACTGTTACATCATGTAACTCCGTAGTGTCCCAAAAGTTCTGATCAAGGAGATTGTGGGGCCAAAGAAGAAAGTGATCGTTGATGTAGAGTGTGCCTAAGGAGAGTCCCATGGAGAGAAAACATTCTCTCAGGCTTTCATAGAGAGCACATTGGCCAAGCAATGGCCGTGACTCATCCACATGGCTGACACTGACAAAGGTTCTACAATCTGAGGTACAGGATCTCAGGATAAATCCTGAGGGGATTTCACTGACCTTACCAGACCCAAAAGCTACAACTCTTGTTGCCTAGGTCCTGCTTTACCTTGGTTTTAACCATCCAGCAGAAAAGTATAAAAACGAAATATAAGAAGTAAAGCCATGCTGTTATGTTGAGCTGTAGGGGACTCAGGTCAACAATTTCTGACATTGCCAGTCAAGTGGAAGACCCAATACTATTATGGACTACTGAACTCTTTTAGATTGTTTTGCTGAGTTAACACACCTGTAATATTCAAATAACGGAACTTAACAAAAAAAGGGTATACAGATGAATGTCCATTTTGTATCTGTGTATTCAAAGTGGTTAGGATAGATATATAGTTACATTCTCTTAATGAATAGAGTGATTTGTTCTAATGGTGTTTGTAGATAGGATATGTCTGCATCTTGTACAGCAATTAACCACTGGGAGGAATGTATGCAATGTGTTAATTATTGAAACTGTTCTACCAATTTGATTTGAAACTGTCTCACTGCTATTTGTTTATCAATAAAATTATGGGGAAAAATAAATAAATAAATAACAAAGCTAATAATAATAATACAGTCAGAACAAGGTAAAATGTAAGAGACAAAGTCAGGGCTGAGAGAAACAGATTCAGAAAAAAAAAAAAGCCAAAGTTAAAGTCAACATACTAAATACATACTTTGAAAACCACACATTTTACCAGGTTTCCTAATAGCCTAAAGAAAGAGGAAAACAAAGAACAGCATAATTCTGTGACCAGAAGGTCAAATCAAGTCAGAAGCCATCACTTCCACTCCAAAGACCTCATAAGCATAAGGATGACTGATGGTGTTAACCTCTAGATGCAACTGCTGAACAATTTTAGGATCCATAAGGTTGTAATGTATCGATGGAACTCCCTGAGCCAGACACAGAGGGAAAGACAAGACCCAGAACCTGTTCTCAAATGACACACATATATAAGCATAGCTCCACTCAGTACGTGTCCTTGTGACACACATGTACACACACTAACACAGGAAATTCCCAAGTAATCATCAGATCCTGGAAGGGAGATGGAAGAACAGATGCATCTGTAAACACTAAATATGTGTGGATTTTCTTTTTTCTTTTTTTTTAATACACAGGGTTTTTTTTTTTTTTTTTGCGGTACCAGGGATTGAACTCGGGACCTTGTACTTGCCAGGCAGGCACTTATCCAGTTGAGCTATATCCCTGGCCCATGGATTTTCAAAGAGACTCTTTGACTCATTCCCATGCTCACCTGAGAGTCCACAGAGAAGTTGCCAGCAGCACTGAGTGTGTTCAGGAAGGGCTGCACATAGCGCCGGACAGCCCCTTCAATGTCCCAGTGGACGTCATGGGACTTGGGGTCTGGGTTGAGTAAACTGAAGGTGATCTCATAGCCTACAGAAACAGCATTCAGGAATCAGAGGGTCCTATTCATTAGGGGAGAGGAGCAGCATGTGCGCCTGTTAAGCTGATTGTCCTCTTGGAACCAAAAGGGGAATAAACCAGGGTAAGGAACCCAGAGTGCTCTAAGGAAAGGTGGTGATCAGAGAAGAAGCTGCATGCAGACGCCCCTCCTGCTTCACATAATTCATTTCCCTCCCCACCTATGGCCAGGCCCAGTACCCTACCCAAGCTGGACTTGAGAGGTCGCCTCTTATCAGAGCTCCACTTGTCCTCCGGGAGGTGGTCAGCTAGAGCAGCGGCAAGGACATCCTCAGTCAGAGACATGGCCTGGGCTACTTGGATTATGCGGTGGCCAATGATGTTAAGGGCCTCCCGGTGCATTACCCCCCGCACAACTGCTGTCCTCTCAGGGCCAATGTAACTCATCATGTCCTGTGAGGGTGAGCAAGGGATAGAATGCTTGTGGCTCAGTGAAGAAAGCAGGAAAGCACTCTGGCCTTTGTCACTGACAAAGTCCTGCACCTCCGCTATTAACCCAGAATTTTTGAGCTGTAAGCACGCATGAGTGTGTTCATATATTTCCATTCTTTTCTCACTTCCAGCTGACAGAGGCTGAAGCAGTATTCAAATGTTCAGGGGCAGGTAAAATGGTGAAAGGGAAACCAAGAGATGGCATGTGGAGCAAGAAGAGAAGTTGGGGATGGCAAGATAGCTCAGTGGACTAAAGCACCTACTTAGGCAAGCTTAGACAAGCACAGGGACCACAGTTTAATCCCTGGCACCACATGCTGCGCCAGCCGTGCCAGCCTTGCCCCCAGGGTGGGCTGAGCTGGCCAGAGTCCAGGCATAGTGGCGCACACCTGTAATCCCAGTGCTGGGGAGGCTGAAAGCAGGAGGATCACCATGAGCTCAAGCTGCATAGTAAGACCCTGCAACAAGCAAATATATTAAAGGAAAAAAAAAAAAAAAAAAGGACATGTGGCTGGGAGATAGCTCAGCAGTCTAAGAATCTGCTGGGGAAGCGCAAGGGTCCGGGTTCCATCCCAGGTATCACATGCCTTGCTGGCCCTGCCCTGGGTGTGCCCAATAGCCACAAAAACTGGACATGGTGGCACATGCCTATAATCCCAGTGCTGGGGAGGCTGAGACAGGAGGATCACTATTTTTCCCAGCTGCATAGTGAGACCCTGTACCAAATAAACAAACAAATAAATAAATGATTTTAAAAATTCAAAGCTTGAGCTACAAAAATGGCACATAACAAAAAGCAAGCATAAGAATGTTCATAATAAAAAAAAAGAACGTTCATAATAGCATTATATCTAACAGTAAAACTGGAAATAACCTAAATGTCCATTAGCAACAGAACGGATAAACTGTTTACATAGTGAAATACATTCAATTACATGTGGTATTGCAGATGATTCTCTCAAACATAAATGCTGAACAAAATTAAAAGTGCCAGAAGATGACAAGATGAGGGCCAGGGAGATGGCTCAGTGGAATAAGTGCTTCCCTGGCAAGTGCAAGGGCCTGAGTTCAATCCCTGGTTCCACCAAAAAAAAAAAAAAAAAAAAAAAAGATGTATCAGTTTAGCAGCACAGTATTACACCCCTTATGTCAAATCAAATATGTCAAATTTGTGAGCCAAATTAAAGCTTCTCTTCTTTTAAAAAAAGAAAAAAAAACAAAACTATTGGACATGGTGGTAGACACCTATAATACCCACTCACATAGCCTGAGGTGGCAGGATCCCAAATTTGAACCCAATCTGGCCAACTGTGAGATCATATCTCTGGGGGAAAAAGTGGGGGAATTGGGCTGGGAATGTAGCTCAACATAAAGCGCCTAGTTCAATCCTCACTCACTCAGAGCAGCGCTGGCCTCACCTCTCCCCAAAACTAAAATTAAATATACTGTTTATACACATGATTGAACTCTTAAACCACTTACTTCTTTTTAATCCTAATTTTTTCCTTTTTTTTTTTTTTTTTTTTGCAATGCTATGATTGAATCCAGGGATGCTGAACCACTAAGTGTTGGCTTAAAACTTGTAATGATCCCACCTCAGCCTCCCTGAGTACCTGAGATTACAGGCCTGTGCCACCATTCCTCTCTCTCTTTTTTTTTTTTTTTTTTTTCTATTTTAAATGGTCACTGGCACTTTAATCACATACAAGTCTTGGATTTAGAAAGCCCCAAAGCCGAAGTCAATGAATAAGTGCCCACCAGCATTCCTTTTTAACAGATGTAGCTTTCTGTGGTATAAAGAAGCTACAGGTAACACTACAAGAAAGAGGTAACTAAGAGAGAAGAGAAGGGAAGAGGCGAGGCCAGAGCTGTTTGCTTACCCTACCTGGGGCAGGAGTGAGGAGTGCTCGGAGATCACGTATACAGTCAGGGAACCCTCCACTTGTTCGTTCGGCTGAGCTAGCGTGGCTTCTGCCTCTGGAGACAAGAGTAGGTGGCACACCACATGCAACATGGACCATTTCCCCCAACCCACATAGAGTGCTTAGGCCACTCTTCCACCACAGCTGGCTCTGTGGCCAGATTTGAGTCAGCCAGTCTGGTTCTTGGGCCTTGAGCAGTCCAGGCTAAAACCAAAGTACCGTATTTCCAGCTTTCCCAGAGATGCTCTGGAGGCAAGACAAAGCACGGAAATTATACATTTTAAAATCAGCAGGCCAGGAGTGGTGGCACATGCCTATAATCCCAGCACTTAGGAGGCTGAGGCAGGAAAATCACTGCGAGACCAGCCTGCGGTATAAAGTAAGCTCATGGCCAGCCTGAACCGCACAATGAGACCCCGTCTCAAAAAGACAATAAATAAATAAATAAAATAAAATCAGCAGGAAAATAGGGCCTCTTGCCAGGCATGATGGTGCACACCTATAAACCCAGCACTTGGAAGGCTGAAGCAAGAGGAATGCTGTGAATTTGAGGCCAGTCTGAGCCATATAATGAGTTCAACACCAGCCTGATCTATAGTGAGACCCTATCTCAAAAAAAAAGAAAGAACGAGAGAGAGAAAGAGAGGAGAGAGAGGAAAGAGAGAGAGAGAGGAGAGAGGAAAGAGGAGAGAGGAGGAGAGAGGAGAGAGGAGAGAGGAAAGAGGGAGGGAGGAGGAGAGAAGAGAGAGGAAAGAGGGAGGGAGGAGGAGAGAAGAGAGAGGAGGGAAAAGAGAGGGGGAGGGAAAGAGGGGGGAAGGGGGAGAGAGAGAGTTTCTTGTCAAAATGGTACACTCATCCCTTCCCTTACCTTGTACACTACCCAATAACAGGGCCTCCTCCTCATGATCCAAAGCCCTCCGATAGGTTTTCTGAAAACGGCATTTGATTTTCATCTTGTCTGGAAGGAAAGGAATTGCATGATGGGAAGAACAAGTGTCAGACAGTGCCTCTCCAGCCCTAGAACTGTCCGGTGTCTCCAGACAGTAAGATGGCTGTTTGCAGAGAACTACCATACACCAAGCAGCTACAGCCAACTCCAATCATTTCCACACAGACACTAGCAAACACAACAGTTTTGCCTTCCACCCATACTCTTGCCTGTGCCTATCCATACTCTGGTCTCTTGACCTGAAATATCTTCTCACTGCAGGGTGGGGGTGGGGGTAGAGGATGTTTTAATATTCATTATATCAGTAGGTGAAAGGAGAAAAATCACATGGTCTTCCAATCTCTACCCCCAAATAATTAATTTCAATAAACATTCCTGATAAAAAGTAAAACATCTAATGATAAAACACTAAACGTAATTTCATTAGTTAGTAATAGTAATCCCAGAACTTAGAAGGCTGAGGCAAAACTGCTGTGAATTTGAGGCCAGCCTGGGATACATGGTGAGTTCAACTCTATCTCAAAGAAAATAAATAAATAAATAAATAAATAAAGCAAGGATGAACGCCAATATTCTCACTGTTATTTGGCATTGTGCATTCTTTTTTTTTTATTTATTTGAGAGAGAGAGAGAGAGAGAGAGAGACAGACAGACAGACAGACAGACAGAGTGTGTGTGGTGTGTGTGTGGCCAGCTCAGCCCACCAGGGGGCAAGGCTGGCTGGCATGTGGTGCTGGGGGATTGAACCGCGGTCCCTGATGCTTTGCTAAGCTTGTTCTAAGTAGGTGCTTTAGACCACTGAGCCATCTCTCCAGCCCTGGCATTGTGCATTCTGAAGTTTCTAACCAAAATTCCTCTTTTTTTTTTTTGCGGAAATGGGGTTTAAACTCAGGCCCTTGCACTTGCCAGGGGAGCGCCTTCTAACCAAGATAAGAGAAATAAAATTTACAAATATTTCAAAGAAAGCAGCAACAGGGCCACTTTTGAAGTAGTAAATTGTTTTCCAAGAAAACCAAAGAATAAACTAAAAAAAAAATTTTTTTTCAATGTATTTGGTACAGGGCCTCATTATGCAACTCGGACTCATAGTGATCGCCTGTTTTCAGCCTCCCCAGCACTGGGATTATAGGCATGTGCCACCATACCTGGTCTTAAAGAAATTCTTAAAACCAGAAAAAGTGGCTAGGTGTGGTGATGCACACCTATAACCACAGTATTCTGGGAGCCTGAGGCAGGAGAACCATTGGTTCAAGCCCACCTTAGATGAGTTACTATCGTAACAAGACCCTGTTACAAAAATAAAAAAGGAAAGATACAAAGAAGCTGAGGAAATAGCGAATATGAAGATTCTAGGTTCAATTCCCACTACCAACACACACACACACACACACACACACACACACACACCCTACAAAGAGTTCAGAAAGAATGCACAAGAATCAACAGCAGGAGCCAGAGATAATAGATCAGCACCTGCCTGGCAAGAGCAAGATCCTGAGTTTGATTCCCTGTACAAAAAAAAAAAGCTGGGGAGATAGTTCAGTAGAATAAGGGTTTGCCTGGCAAGCGCAAGGGCCTGAGTTCAATCCCCGGTTCTGCCAAAAAAAAGAAAAGAATCAACAGATGTATAAATACCAGCAATATCTAATTAGAAAGTAATTGTTTTTCATAATCCCCAATTGCAGTAATAATAATTTAAAATAGCAAAAAAAAAAAAAAGATGGAAAGATTAAGCCTTGTAAAAATGTCAGTTCTGGGGCTGGTGAGATGGCTCAGTGGTCTAAAGCACCTACTTAGAACAAGCTAAGCTAAGCAAAACACAGGGACCGTGGTTCAATCCCGCAGCACCACATGCCAGACAGCCCCGCCCCCTGGTGGGCTGAGCTGGCCACACACATATAAATAAATAAAAAATTAAAAAAAAAAAAAAAAAAGAATTTGTTAAAAAAAAAAAATGTCAGTTCTCTCCAAATTAATCTTACATGTGTCAGGCAATTCCAAAATGATTTTTGTCCCTGAAACTTGACAAGCAGAACCCAAAATTTACTGGGAAAGTTCCTCTTTATCAAAGAATTCTGTATCACACATAAGAAATGATAGTACTGAAAAAACAATATTGACAATTGCTAAGGAAATCAATTCCTCTTCCAGCAGATGCTAAAAACTTCAGGTTAAAGATTGATGGAGAAATCTAAAACTGACAGGCACAGTGGCACATGCCCATGATCCCAGAACTCAGGAGGCTGAGGCAGAAGAACTGTCATGAGCTCAATGCCAAACTTAACTACAAACCGAGACTCTCTCAAAAAGATTTAAAAAATATATAGAAATCAAATAATAGCTGAACTTGTTGACCTCTGCATCATTCAACATGGACAACTAGCCGTCACACATCTAGTGATGTAACAAAACAGAACTACAGAGCACCACCTATAAACTATTTGTGCCTAAAAAGATCAAACCTGGCTTTAATCAAACCTCTAGATTTCAAGGGTTAGGGAAATAGCTCGGGGGCTAGCCACCAAAACCAGGTATGATGGTGCATGTCTGTAATCCCAGTGCTGGGGAGGCTGAGACAGGAAGATTACTACAAGTCTGAGCTGCATAGCAAGACACTCCCTCCACCCCCCCACCCCCCCACAACCATGGCAGAACCAGGGATTGAACTCAGGCCCTTGCCCTTGTAAGGGAAGCGCTTATTCCACTGAGCCATCTCCCCAGCTGACCCTATATCAAACAAATAATTTTTTTTTTTTTGGTTGAGAAATTCTTTAATTTTTCTCAGCAAAATTCTCAAGGTTTCAGTGTAGTTTTACATATCTTTAATCAAATTGTCACTTAATAATTTTTAATTTAAAAAGCCTCTAGATTTCACTACCAAAATATGGATACTAGATGAATAAGTTAAATGAAATTATGAGGAAGTGATTTGCCAAACTCTGAATGTGAGATGTGTTATGAAACAAATGACCTGGTTTCTTCCACAAATAAATAGCTTTAAAATATATAGTGGTGGGGCTGGGGAGATGGCTCAGTGGAATGAGTGCTTCTCTGTTGAGCGCAAGAGCCTGAGTTCAATCCCCAGTTCCACCAAAAAAAAGAAAATATATAGTGGTGGGGTAGAAGGGAACTAATATACATATAAAAAAGGGGGGAAAGAGAGAACCAAATGAATCCTGATTAGAATAAAACAACTGTAAAAGAACATCTGTAAGATAATTTAGGAAATCTAAATGAAGATTGAGAATTAGGTAGTACTGGCTTGGGCTATAGCTCAGTGGTGTAAGTGCCTGCCTGGCAAGCACAAGGTCCTGAGTTAAATCCCTGGTACCAAAAAAAAAAAAGAGAGACAGAATTAGGTAGCACTAAGGGATTATTGCTAGCTTTGTTGAAATGTGATAATGGTAGTCATGCTTTCATATTTTTTTTAAGAGCCCTTCAATGGTTTCCCCTCTCAGTGAGAATATAGACCAAAATTCTCACCATGCTCTATCAGGCCCTTCGTGACCTTTTACTTCTCTGGTTTTATTTCATTTGTTCTCTCTCCAGTCCAACCACAAAGAAACTCATGTTCCTTAAAGGTGTCTCACCTACTCTGACCTTAAGTCTTTAGCCTTGCTTTTTCCTCTGCCAGGAAGCTCTTCCCACCAGGTATATGCACAGGGAATTTCCTTCCCTCTTTTACATCTTTATTCAAAAGTCCTTTTTTTTTTTTTTTTGCGGAACTGGGGATTGAACTCCGGACCTTGTGCTTGCCAAGGAAGGGCTTATTCCACTGAGTCATCTCCCCAGTGCCTGAAATGTCCTCTTTTTGATGAGGCCTTCCTTGGCTGCCTCACGTAAAACTGCAATCCCAAGAAAACATCTCTCCTGCTTTCTCGTTCTGTTTTTCTTTCTTTCTTTCTTTCTTTTTTTTTTTTTTTTTTTTTTGGTGGAATTGGGGATTGAACTCAGGCCCTTGCTCTCGCCAGAGAAGCACTTATTCCACTGAGCCATCTCCCCAGTCCTTGTTCTGTTTTTCTAATCACCACTTAACATGTTTATTCTTTTTATTGTCTCTCTTCTTTTCCTGTTTTGTTCACTTCTCCAGCAACTAGACTAGAATCTGAGCTGGGGAGATGGCTCAGTGGAATAAGTGCTTCCCTGGCAAGCACAAGGGTCTGAGTTCAATCCCTGGTTCTACAAAACAAACAAACAAATAGACTAGATATAGGTATTCAAATATTTGCTGGCTAAATGAACACTCCTGTTCACACAAATAAGTGACAGAACAAAAAATTACATTTTTTTTTTGAGACAGAGTCTCACTATGCTTTTCAGGTTGGCCTTGAGCTCAGGTTCAGGTAGTCCAGGTTGGCCTTGAGAACTAGCAATGATCCTCCTGCCTCAACCTCAAGAATACTGGGCACAAATGTGTGCCACCAATCCTGGCCTTGAATCCAGCTCTCTACATCCCATGTTCTTGGTCACTGCACTGCTTCCAAACAGTATTACTGAAAACTGTGTCACCAAATATGAAGATGTCCATGATAAAACTAAAAAATAATCAAACTGCAAACTAACATGTGAGGTATGACACATTTTTTGCTCAGAAAAACAAAATATATGTGTACATTTGGCTGAATCACACGAAATGATTTTTTTTTTTTTTAATGGCTTTACCACACCTGAGTGGAAGTACATGCCTATAACCTAGCGCTCAGAAAGCTGAGGCAGGAGGTCCATAAATTAGAGGCCTGGCCTATGTACTAAGACTCCATCTCAAAAGTAAATAAATAAAATACTGACTAAAGTTACGGAGCTAGAAAGTAAACAGCACACGGGTACGTCATAGTCAGGATTCAGCCTTTATCTCCAGCCACTGCTAGTATTTTACTTCACACTCCAGTAAGGTAAAACTGCTCATTCTTGCTGATTCACACATCCATGCTTTTACATAGGAGAGGTATAGTTTGTTGATTAAAAGACTGAGAGTGCTGGGCTGGTGAGATGGCTCAGTGGTCTAAAGCACCTACTTAGAACAAGCTTAACAAAGCACAGGGACCGCGGTTCAATCCCCCAGCACCACATGCCAGCCAGCCCCGCCCCCTGGTGGGCTGAGCTGGCCACACACACACACATAAATAAATAAATAAAATTTAAAAAAAAAAAAGATTGAGAGTACTGGAATCAGTTGGGCCTGGATTTAATCCCAGCTCCATTTATTAGTTTTGTGTCCAAAACAAACTAAACTCTTTTGAAGTTTCGGTTTCTTTATTATAAAATGGGTTCCTAACGTTAGAGGATTAAATGAGGCAATACATGTAAAGTGCTCGCCTAGTTTCAGGCACACAGTAAGCAGTAGCAACCTAGTTATTCTTATTACTGGCTCATGCTATTGTCTCTTCTCTTTCTATTTAACCTGAATTCTTACACATCCTTTAAAGATCCAGCTTAAAAATTACATCAATTTTCTGCCTTTCTTTCCTCTCAGGCAGTTAAGTGCTCTTTCTGGAATGCTATCTCTTGTTTCTTGTAATTTCTGCAGTAACTGTTTTTACTTATGTGTCTTCTCTATGAATTTCTTGAAATCATTATCAGTTTCTTATTCATCCCCAAATTCCTGGCACCTAAAAAAAGTGCCTAACAGTAGTGTTTGACATCAAGCTAGAGTCTGTACATACCCATGTTAAATTCAAACTGTGTTCTTTCCACTACATCTCTTTTCCCCTTCTACTCTGAAGGGCAAACAACTGCTTCTAATCAGGCAGCATAACTTATGAAAAATATGGCTTCCTTAATGACAGGTACAGAATTTAGAGGAGATGGGGCGCATTCTGGGTGGTATGGCCATAGACTAGGCGCAGAATTTAAAGTACCCAAACACACTCTGTTCAGACAGCTCTTCTGCTAGGAGGTTATGGGACAACCACGTTCCTCCTATCCAACCCTCTCCAGACTCAGCTCAGACCCAAAAGACTGCCCTGAATCCCATGAACTCACATTTCAGAGGTATCTCTCTCTCATGCACAACGGTGAAGGGTAGCTTTCCCTGGTCGTCCAGGGGCACTGAATCCCGGGTAAATACGACAGTGACGGGCACCATGAGCCGGAGCTGCAGGAAGGAGGACCGGGGCTGTCAGCGGAGTCTCCACCTTACCAGTGGGCTGCCCCAGGCACTCTCTCACCGAGGTCTCACCTGCAGGGCATTCAGCCCACTGATCTGGGAGTAAGGTAACGGGGCCCGGTACGTCTCCGTGGTCTTCCACCAGAGCGGCAGCCCCAACACGATGGCCACCGCAGCGAAGAAGAGGGCAGCGCGCTTGCCCCGGACCACCTCTGGGGACACCGGGGGACCGACTGAGGCACGGGCAGCAGGCTCGGCCGCCAGCTCCACCCTGACGCGGAGGAGCCCGGACCACCGGCCCTCAGAGATCCTCAGCCCACGTTCGGAAAGACTGCAGGGCTAGGGACCCTGGGCCAGGTCTGAAGGGATCGCGTCTCAAGCGACTCTTGGCCCGCGGCTGAGGGATCTCTACCACACCTCGAACCTGCCCCCTCCATTCCTCCCTCGCAATCCCGGAGCTCCGGCTCCCACCCAATGCCCACCGCACCTCGGTCCGTAGCTACCGCCCCAGTGGCCGCCATGCTCGCTTCCGGAGGTTCTAGGCCGCCAGGGGGCGGGGCTACGTAAGCTTCCATCAATCAGAAACCTCGCAATAAGGGGGCGGGACCACGGTAGCCATCCTAGCCAATCGAGAGCAGCACTCCGGACACGCTAGAAAGAATGCCAGCGGGGTGGGCGGAGTTGACGTGGAGCAGCTGAGCGAGTTTGAAAGGTTCCCCGGGCTCGGAAGGGTGCTCGAGACTTATGAGAGTTTCGGCGCTGGTGAAACATTCTTGGGTTGGTTTTTGTTTTGTTTTGATGCTGAAGCTGTAACTCGGGGCTCCATGAATGCTAAGCAAGTGCTTTACCTTTGAGCTATTTGCCTAGGCTCTGGTGGAACGAGCTTGTTGAAGCCCCGCATTCTTGTGGAACAGTCATAGCCCCACAAATGAAAGACACAGAGCTAAATACTGAGGGACTACGGGGAGCTCGAAGTTTTCAAATCCGAAAAGTGGAGACATTTAGTAAATGGAGCCTGGCACAAGGGGAAGCCTTCAGATGTCAGCGGTTTATTATCCCTATCATAGAGCTCCTCTTTTGGGTACCTGCTCTTCAAGCTTCAGAGGCAGACGTAGCAGGCTCGTACTTTTTAAACCTGATTGGGTTACACCACTATTTTTATCTGAATTTATTTCCAACTTGAATAAGCCAGGATACTTAAAAGTCTTCAAAACTGTACTGGATGTGGTGGCGCACGCCTGTAATCCCAGCACTCAGGAGACTGAAGCAAGATTGCAAAATTGGAGATCAACCTAGGCTAAACAGAAAGTTCAAGCCCAGTCTGGAATATACTGTATAGCAAGATCTCATTAAAAAAAAAAAAAAAAAAAAAAAAAACTTGAAAACTCATGAGCACAAGCTCTGAATCCTTATTTTTGTTTATTTTTTTTTTTGGATTTTAGGGAAGGGTCTACAGGGTCTTCAGGGTTTCACTACTAGATTGGACTCATAGTGTTTCTCCTGTTTACAGCCTCCCAAGAGTTGGGATCACAGGTGCTCTCAATTGCCATCTCAGCATACCTCTGGGGCAGAGACAGCAAGGCAGGACCGGGGATCGAACCCCCAACCCTTGGGCCTACCTGCAGGCGCTTTAATCCGCTGAGCTATTCCAAATCATGGCTTCACCTCTTATTTACCTGAATGACTTTTTTTTTTTTTTTTTTTTTTTTGAACAGGGATTAAACTCAGGCCTTTGCACTTGCCAGGGAAGCACTTATTCTACTGAACTATCTCTCCAGCCCACCTGGATGACTTCTATGCCTCTCTGCCTGTTTCCTTATGGTGAAAATGGCTAGGTGTAGTGGCATACATCTGTAGATACTCAAGAGGACACCCTACGTAATTTAGCAAGATCCAGTTTCAAAGTAAAAAATAAAAAATGCTGAGAATGTAGCTCAGTGGTAGCTCACTGAACATGGTGGTATGCACCTGTAATCCCAGCACTTGGGTTCGATCAAAACTAAATAGGGATGTTAGGGCTGGCCAGATAACTCAGCAGACTAAAGCACCTGCTTAGGCACAGCACAGTGGCCAGAGTTCGATACTCTGTGTGCTGTACCAGCCCTGCCCCCACGGTGTCCTGAGAGGGCGATTGGCACTGAGCATGGTGGTGCGCACCTGTAATCCTGGCACTTGAGAGGCTAAAAACAGGAGGATCACTGTGAGTCTAATCTACATAGTGAGACCCTGTACCAAATACATTAAAAAAAGAAAGAAAGAAAAAAGAAGAAGAAAGAGGGCCAGGGAGATGGCTCAGTAGAATAAGCGCTTCCCTGGCTAGCACAAAGGCCCCGAGTTCAATCCCTGGTTCTGCTAAAATAAATAAATAAACTACATAGGGATAACAGCAGTAGTATCTATTCTGAGTTACAACCTACTGGGATTAGAACACTGTATGGCAAGAGCATATAGAAAGTATCATGTGTTAGCTTGTTTTGTTATAAGGTTAGGCCACACTAGTGGAACATTGATGGCCTCCCCAGTTCACAGAACATACCAACTTGTTTGCTTGTCTTTTATTTTTTTCAAGACATGGTCTTGCTATATAGTTCATGCTGTTCTCAGACTCATGGCAATCCTCCTGCCTTTGCCTCCCCAAGTCCTGAGATTACACGGGTTCTCCACTGCATCCAGGTGTTCTATCATGTTGGCTCACATAGACCCAGGTTCTCAGTCTCCCTTACACCCAAGCACAGTGATCAAAGTTCAGCTTCATCGAGTCTGCCCTTGCCCAGACCCTCAAATTACACCACTCTATAACCCCTCTCATTCCAAATGGGAGTGGGCCATGGCTCCTGACAACCTAAGAAACTTAGCCAGGACAGTCCCCAAAGCTGTGCAGGTTTTCCTCATTGGATAGAAGTCCAGGTGTCCCTCCTAATGTAGTGGTCCCTATTGGGTCCACTCCCTGCCTAACTTCATCCAATCTTTTTTTTTTTTTTTTTGTATTTAGTACAGGGTCTACCGGGTCTCACTGCATAGATATAACTTGTAGTGATTCTCCTGTTTTCAGCCTCCCAAGTGCTGGGATTACAGGAGCATGCCACAACACCCAGTCTCAATTGCCTTTTTCTCAGGGAGCCCCAGGGGCTGAGCCAGCACAGCACACGGGGGTGGGGACAACACCCCAGCCACTGCACGCTGCCTACACAGGTGCTTTAGTCTGCTGAACTATCTGGCTGGCCAACTTTATCCAGTCTTGTCCTGCTATTTCCCTGCTTTGTGCCTTCTGCAAAATCTGCCTTCAGGAGTTGCTCATCTCCCAGCTCCATCCTTCTGTGGCTGCAGCCTAGTGGCTCCGAAGTGGCAGTCCGTAGAAGTCACAGCTCTCCTCACTGCCCTACTGCAACCATAAACATCAACAGGCAAGAGCCTGAGCTGGGAATGGTGATTAGGTATGCCCTTCCTCTATAAATACGAAGCCTAGTAAAACTCAAATCCTCTAATCCCACTGCCCAGACAGAATTTCCAGAGATCAGAAAAGAGGAGATAGGAATTTGATGTGTAAAACAGACAGACAAAGTAGCATGTTTTGCTACCTTTTATTTCCTATACAGCGTGTACTCAAGGCATAAGGCAAGGTTTGTATAGTTCCTTCTCATCCTAGAGAGGGCCAGCTGGGATAGCCCAAGGAGAAGCTACACCATCATGGAGAAGTTATAAGGTCTGGTGGAGGCAAAGGAATACCCAGGCATCCTTCTCTGACTTCTAGCAGTTCTCCTGCCCTCAGACATGAGGGGCTTCCTATTCTCCCATCCTATGGTCCCAGGTGCAGCAATGGAAGCAGAGAGGGGAGGAGAGAAAAAGAAGATTTGGGGCTGGGTGAAGGCATCTCTGTTCTACATGGCTTTTTGACCCTGGCTGTGACTATAGGCAAAAATAGGTGCAGAGGGCTAGGCCAAGGGTGGTATTGTGGAGTAAGCACACCTCAGTAGGCATGGTTTGCAATATAGAGGGACTGCGCCGCTGCTCCACCATCTTCTCCACTGCCTTCGTACTTGCCCTGGGCTGCAAGCCCATTCACCTGCAAAAAGGAATGGTGGTGTGAGCAAGCTGAGCCAGCCCATGGGTGTCAAACCCTGACCATCAGTAACCTCTGGGTGCTCAGCCCTCTCTAGCTACACATATGCCTGCCACACCCCAACCACCCCCAGCTCCCAACCTCAGCCCGCTTGATGAACTCTTCAGTGGCAGCTCCAGCATTGTCCTTTTGTCCTCGCCAGGCATTGAGGGCAGAGGCCTGCAGGGCACGCCCATAGGAGAAGGTGAGAGCCCATGGCCTCGGAAGGGGACAGCGATTGATGGCATTGAGGTTGAGTGATGCCTCCTCTTCACTCTGACCCCCAGACAAGAATGTCACCCCTGGAGGAGAGAAGACTGATTAATTGGTCTTTCCTTATTTTCCAAGGAAAAGGACTCCTGAAGGCCACAGAAAGAGCCTCAGGATGGCTCTTAGAGCTAGAAGCAGGTTAGAAAACAGACTAGTGGGACAGGGATATAGCTCAGCAGCAAAAATGCCTGCCTGAAAAAAAAAAAAAAAAATGCCTGCCTGGCAAGTGCAAGGTCCTGAGTTCAATTCCCAGCACCAAAAATAAAGAAAAACAAAAGGGGGGGCTAATACCTGGGACCGCTGGGGGCACAGTGCGGCGCAGGGCAGTGACTGTGGCCATGGCAATCTCTTCTGGGCTATACTTGATGGGACAGGCATGGCCAGGGGTCACCATGTTGGGCTTGAGCAGCGTCCCCTCCAGATACACATGATGATCACTCAGGGCCTTGTACACAGCAGCCAGGACCTGGGGACCAGAAGAGGTTTTTGAAGGGCCTGGGTTCCCACTACTTAGTGCTCTAAGACTCCCATCCAGGGGTGGGTAGGCATGGACCATATGGGTTTGGTATAGGCTCACACTTTCAGGGCTGTTTTAGGATCAATGAAAGAGTGCTATGGGGTATGGCGGTACACATCTGTGATCCCAGCACCTGGGAGGCTGAGGCAGGAGGATCACTGAGAGTACAAGAACTGCATACAAGACTTTGCCTTGGGGCTGGTGAGATGGCTCAGTGGTCTAAAGCACCTACTTAGAACAAGCTTAGCAAAGTACAGGGACGACAGTTCAATCCCCCAGCACCACATGCCAGCCAGCCCCACCCCCTGGTGGGCCAGCCAGATAGCTCAGCAGATTAAAGCTCTTGCTTAGGCAGACCCAGGGGCCAGGGGTTTGATCCCTGGACCTGCTGTGATGGCCCTGCCCCCAGGGCACACTGAGACTCTGCAATTGAGACTGGGCATGGTGTCACATGCCTATAATCCCAACATTTGGGAAGGCTGTAAACAGGAGGATCACTAGAGAGTCCGACCTACATAGCGAGACCCTGTAGACCCTGTAGACCCTGTAGATCCTGTACTAAATACATTAAATAAATCAATCAAAGCAAAACAATGAAAGAATGCTAGGGGACAGCATCTGGATCTAAGGCAGCAAATGGGCTGCAGGCACCATTTATGTGTCTGTGCCTGGCTGTGTACTTACCTTCTCTGTAACATACTGGCAACGTTTTAGGTCATGGTCTCCATCAGGCAGGATCTCAGGCTCCACAATAGGCACAATGCCATTCTGGAGGCAGAGCAGAGTAGCTTAGGAGCGGCAGTAGGTGAAGATGGGGAAAAGTCCTATAACCTTCTACACCACCCCCCCCCCGAGGCACAGGGCACCCATCTGGTCACCCAAATTCCAGCACATACCTGCTGACAGATGCTGGCATAGCGGGCCAGCACATTGGCATTCTCCAGAATGGCAAGTGCTGAGGGTGTGCGCTCACTGATTTTCAGCACACAGCGCCATTTGGCAAAGTCAGCACCATCCTTCTTGTACTGAGCACAGCGTTCGGAGAGCCCATCCAGCCCTGTAGGCACAGCACCAGCCTCATTACTCTGTTCCTCTCCTGCCACCAAACACCTACCTCCTCCTCGGCCCTGAAGCACCCACTATGTACCTTGAGTGGTGGTTTCTCCATCAGTCCCAGCCAGAGGCACTACACCCTTATCAACCTGCAGCAGAAACACAGGCAGAGGGCTGACCCTACCTGGGTAGGATTCTCTCTGCGCCTCCCCCACCTCATACAGCCAGCCCCAGTTATGGCTAAGATTAAACCTTGATGCCCACGACGATGCCTTTATCCTGGATGGTTTGGACAAAGGGGACGCCGTTATCATCTTTCTGGTAGAGTGTCTCGTGAAAGAAGATGACACCGCCAATGCACTTCTTCACACGGTCATCGGCGCTGAACAGGACCTGGCGGTATAGCCTGCGGTTCTCCTCTGTGTTCTCCACCCCGATTTGGCTCAGCCTCTTGGCCATGCTGCCTGGAGGCAAACAAAGTGGGGGCAGCCATTCTCCCTGGCCAGAACTCTCCAACCTCCTCTACTCCCTACCACCACCACCACCTACCTACAGATTCATCTGCAGCCAGAATGCCTTTTCCTGGCGCCACAATCCGGAGTGCAATGTCAGACAACTCCTTCTTCTGCTCCGCAGAAAGGGCTGGATATGAGTGAGGCATGGTGACAGCTCTCTGGAATGGAGATAAGATAAAAAAGACTAGATATCACCTGCTACCTCCTCTACCTCCTCTCCTGGACTAACAGGTCAAATGCTCCCCTCCCCAAACATGGGGCTGGGAGCAGAGCAGCAGTCCTTGGCATGAGTCCTGGGCATCAAAGTGACACCAATCTCTCTGACAGCTTGCAAGCTTAGGGCTCCAGTTCCCACATCTCCTTTTGTCCTGGTGGGCACCCTTCCCAGCCTGTAGGCAAGATGCAAGATGGGGGTGGGGAGGTAAGCAGCCCTGAAGCTACAGGTCTTATGAAACTGTTGCCTAGAGCGAGGCATGGTGGTGCACACCTGTAATCCCAGCACTGGAGAGGCTGAGGCAGGAGGATCGCCAAGAATCTAAGGCCAGTCTGAACTATACAGAAAGACTGTGACTCAAAAAACTAAAAACATTTGCCCAATTAAAGACACCAGCCCTTCTCCCATTAAATTTGGTCACTTCTTTAAGAGAGTATAAGCCCTGGTCTTCCCAGCTTCTCTTTTCTTATCTTCAACAAAGGGCCCTTAGGGAAACCACATTTATTTCAAGGCTTTAGGGGCCAGGGAGATGGCTCAGTAGAATAAGCGCTTTTCTGGCAAGCGCAAGGGTCTGAGTTCAATCCCTGGTCATAAATAAATAAATACATAAATAAAAATTAAAAAATCTAAGGCTTCAGAATGAAGAAGGTACTTATCATAGGCTGGAGAAGTAGGAGAGTCACAAAGAAGTCACAGGGTTCCTTTTTATTTTATTTTATTTATTTATTTATTGCCATACTACAAACCTGACTGGCTGTGCCTGTGCCCTACCCCTGTGCCAGAGTTCAGCCTCAGTAGGCCTGCTAAGTGGGAAAGAGTCTGCAGAGCTAAGTTAGGTGTGAAGATTGGAGGAAGTGACACCACCAGGTCATCTCCAGTGTCCAGAAGCACTTCCTATGTTTGGAGGAATATATGAGAAATAGGAAACATTTAACCAGGACACCCAGTGGGGAGACAGAGGCAGGGGTTCAAGGCTGAGCCTGAGGAGGGAAGGGAGATCCACAGTAGTGGAGAGGAGGGGAGATGATGGCAACAGTGAGCTAGAGGACCTAGACCTAGACACAGAGAAAGCAAGAGAGCGGGAGAGAGACGTAGCCTAGAGGGAGCAGAAGTAAGCTGAGAAAATGCCATGGGTGAAAAAAACAAAACAAAATAAAATAAAACGACTGGGGTGGGAAAGACTCATCCAGGAAAAAAAAATCCAGGAGATAAAGGAAGATTTGGAATTAGAAAAGCTGAGCTGCTGTGGAGAGCTAAGGCGGAGTGGAACGAGAGACGCTGGGTCTTGGGGCTTCAAGCAGAGGTGCAAGTATGTTAGGAGAGAACCTAAGAAGCAGAGAACTCCAGGGAGCAGGACAAGGATGGCAGGGAAGGAGCCCAGAGAAGTGTGGCTGCTGAGCAGCTCCCCTCTTGCCCAGAACCTTACCTGTGTGCAGCCAGTTACCAGAGGCAGCCACAGGCGCAGCACGGCACAGCACAGGCTCAGGTCCGCAACCGCAGCGGCTCAGCCCAGCCTCGGGTTAATGAGGCTTGCGGATGCCGCAGAGCTACGTGACTCTCCGGGGGGCGGAACCTGCCCCTCCTCCCCGGCCCGCTCCTCCCCAGGCCTGGTCTGGGGCAAGGCCACGCCCACGGAGGCGGGGCAGTGAGGTGGAGTGACTACCCTGCCAGGACCTGCCGGGCTGTGCGGCTCCTGACTGTCCCCCTCCCATCTCGAGGGGAAATGGCTTTGCTTTCATCTTTGCCATGTGCAGGGCACCGTGCTGGAGGCTCCGAAACAGTGTCAGTGGGTGGCTTAGGTGTGACAGAGCACCAACAGGGCGCCCAGGTTTGAGACAGAATAATGAACTGAGCTGCTCTGTCCTCAGCCCCAAGTTTGCCAGAGCCAACACTCTGGGGGATGGGGAAAGAAAGAAAATGGAGCCTTTTCTGTTCCCCACAGGCCATGAGCCAAGGAACAAGCAGTCCAGTGCCCAGAGTATTGGGGGGAAGCAACAGAAAGGAGGGCAGACAGCCATGGCTCTGGATGCAGCAGGGTGAAAAGAAATGTATGAAGAGTACCCAGGCCTGAGGGCCAAGCTCTCTTTTCCCTGACCTCATATACTTCCTCTCACCCAAAAATAAGATTCAGTGAGCTTGAAGTACATTAAATACTTTATTTAAATAATATTAAACATACTTGGCTCTAGGCCATTTGGTTCTACCGTTGGCGTGAAAGGGTACTGAAGGTAAAAAGGGATGAAGGAGAATCCAGCTTTCAGTTTCTTCTTTTTCCTTTTTGAGACAGTCTTACTATGTTGCCCGAAGGGGTCTTGAAATCCTGGTATCAGGTGATCCTCCTGCCTCAGCCTCCTGAGTAGCTGGAACTACGGGCACACATCAGTGCCACTGTCTACTTTCTGTTTCTTAGCTCAGAAATTCTAGCAATCCTTGCAGCTCCTTGCAACTTTGCACTACCTCTGGGATGGACAGCAGAGTCTGGGAAGAGAGGCAAAAAAGGCAGCTCAGAATACGTCTAAGGCCCAAGGCTCCCAGCTCCCAGAAGCACTGAGGTCAAAGGGAGAAAACAAACCAGAGAAGCCTACAGTATGGTGACAGGCCCAGCTCTCAGCACAGTCTGGGAAGTGCCTTAGTCCTATCCTCTCCCTCCCTGCTTTACCTTGTAAATATGCTGAACAATCTCATCTAGTTTCTTTAACTCTGCATCAGAGCGCCGAAGGTTCTCCTCTAGGATGTTTCTCTAGAAAGCAAATATGCTCTATAAGTCCTGAGCTTAAAAGAACAGCATGCCAGCCCCACCTCTGGGGCAAGCTGAGATGGTGATTGAGACTGGGTAGTGATTGAGACTTTGAGACTGGGAGTGGTGGCGCAAGCCTGTAATTCCAGCACTTGGGAGGCTGTAAATAGGATCACTACGAATCCAATCTACCCAGTGAGACCCTGCCCTAAATGTAAAAATAAATAAATAAATAAATAAATAAATAAATAAATAAATAAATAAATAAATAAATAAATAAATAGCATGGCTTGGTGCAATAGAGGCAACAGGGCAGGGGGCTTGCCAGTGCTGGTAGGAAGCAGTGCTGGGGTAGTAGGGAATTCTTTACCTGGCTCTGGAACTTGACCATGAGTTTTGCTTTCTCATCTTTCATCTCCAGGAACATCACCCTCAGCTTGTCCACCTATAGGTATGTCCAGATTAATATGGGTACAGCTTGGGGTCCCCACTGCTTGCCCAGCTCCTCTAAATTCTGAGTCACCTCCTGATATAGCCACACTTTCTCTTGGATCCAGTTAGTGGCTGCAGGCTCACAGTTGGGATCCAGTTGGCCTGCCAGGGTCTCCTGGAGCGCTTTAGCCTCTGCTTCTGTGCGCCGAAGTGAGCGGGTGAGTTGGGTCACCTCCTCTTTGAGGCTCTGGGAATAGGAAGAAAAATATCCCTAAGACTCAGAAATCATCTGTCTTTATCCCACGTGTGGACAAAGGTAGATCAGGGTAACCAACTGTGGCATGCATGTGATCTGACTACCAGTGACACGGAAGGCATGGGCTGAGCATCCTGAGGAACATACTATGAGCTCGCGGCTCTTGTCTATCTGCTCTAGGATCTTCTCATTCTGCTTCTGTATCACTTCTTGGAGCTCCTTTTCATTCTGAGAGAGAAAGGGAGGTGAGAAGTCACTGAAGGAGAACTGGCTTCTTTGCAGCTCTTGCCAGGAGGCTGGAAAGGACCTGACCCTGTGCTTGGCCCTGCTGGGATCAATTGATACCCTTCCACTCTGATTCTTTCCCCAGGGCTAAACCTGGCAAGTCATAGCTCAGTGTTGGGAGAACTCTGCTAGAATTCTCTCCTAGTCTGCTAGGGAATATAGGCCAGCCCACAGCTCTTTTTGTTTGTTTTTTATTTTTTTGTATAAATCTTTTTTTTTGTGTGTGTGTGTGGTACTGGGGATTGATCTCAGGACCTTGCACTTGCCAGGCAAGCACTTATTCTACTGAGCCATCTCCCTGGCCCAAAAAAAATCTTTATTTATTGGTACAGGGTCTCATTAATGCAGCTCAGACTCCTAGTGATCCTCCTGTCTCAGCCTCCCCAGCGTTGGGACTGCAGGCTTGCACCACAGCCCAGTTTTGGTGGCCGGCACAACAAACTTGGGGTTTCAGGGCCAGCACAGCATGCAGCACTGGGAATGGAACCTGAGTCCTTGTGCTTGCCAGGCAGGAGCTTAGACCACTGAGTTATCTCCATAGCCAACTGATTCTTTTTTTTTTTTTTTTTTTTTTTTTTTTTTAATATTTTCTTTTTTAAACATTTATTTATTTATTTTGTGTGTGTGTGGCCAGCTCAGCCCACCAGGGGGCGGGACTGGCTGGCATGTGGTGCTGGAGGATTGAACTGTGGTCCCTGTGCTTTACTTGGCTTAGCTTGTTCTAAGTAGGTGCTTTAGACCACTGAGCCATCTCACCAGCCCCCAACTGATTCTTAAATAATACAAAATGTCTGACCCCAGGAAAGGCCAAACTAGAACAGTAGCTGGAAAATCCCCACTACCCAGACTTTTAGAGAGGCAGTGGCTCCCAGTGGGCCAGTAGAGCTGCCCCAGTTCTTTACTGCCTCATTTCTAGGCCCCTCCTTCACCTTGTACCGCAAGCACAAAGCCTGGTTCAGCTTTTCTATGTCCGCTTCCTTTGCCTTCTGGGCTTCTTGATGCTGTTCTTCCTGGGCCTGCAGCCTCATCTGCAGAGCACAACTAGGAGAGGGAGAACTCCTTACCATTCCTGTCCTCTGAGGGGTCTCTGCCCTTGGGAGAGACCTTACTTCCCCTACCATCGAGACTCCAACTCACTCACATTTTTCTCTCCAGTGTCCCAATGGCTTCTTCTTTAGACTCTTGCAGTAGGATACACAGGCTGTGAAGTTCAAGAAGCTTAGTATTCATTTCTGCCAGATTCTCCTCTATGTTCGGGGTCTCTGAAAGAGAAAAGTCCTAGATAGCATGCAGCCCTTCAGTTCGGAAGGAAGGGGTGTATAGCCACCATTTATTTCCACCAACTCTTACCAGTGTTCCCCACCCATAGGATTTGAATATCCAGAACATTGCAGATCCCAAAAGACAGAAATAAAATGAGCCCAAGTAGAATTGAGGTTTTTAGAGCAAAGCACTTCTCACTGCTTTTGTCTTTATTCATCACTACTATACTTTCTAGAAAGGAGGCAGGATCCCTGGAGCCCCTTCTAACCTGGAGGCTGAAGGGAAACCGTTGATGTTACTCGGGTAAAAGCACTCTTGCCACCTCCAAGCAAGGGCACAGGAGCTGATTCTGACTCTAAAACAAACAAACAAAAACCAACCATGGGGAAAGGCCTCTCTGGTGATCCAAAGGTCCACCACAGTGGAGATGGGAGGCCTCTTTGGCAGTTCAAGGTATCAGGAATAGGTTCTTCACTCCCAGATCTTAGGGCCTCTAACCTTCATTTGTCTCTGCTGTCGAGATGCTCCCCATGAAGTCACTGCTATTAGGCGGAGGGTGGTCCTCTGCTACAGCATGGGGTACACTCAGTGAAAGGGTCTCTGGGTCAGCCTAATGCCAAGGAAGAAAAAGTATCACTTGTTCTTCAGAGTGATGCCTCAGTTCCCAGGCCTGTCCAGCCTCCTCTTCAGCACGCTGTGACCTCCACTGCTTTGCAGCTCTCTCTCCACCTCCTCCACCACTACCTTTCCTCAAACATGGTTATATTTCTTTCTTTCTTTTTTTTTGTTTTTGGCAGAACCAGAGATTGAACTCAGGCTCTTGTGCTAGCCAGGAAAGCGTTTATTCTACTGAGCCATCTCCCTGGCACCTGGTTATATTTCTAAATTACTAAAATAATATATATTTTTGAGCCAAAGGTCTTGCTATGCACTTCAGACTGCTCTTGAACTCATTATGTAGCTCAGGATGGCCTCAAACTTGAGGCAATTCTCCTCCCTCAGTCTTGATTACAGGTGTGTGCCACCATACACAGCTCACTAAAACAGTATTTAAAAACAAACCAACACAAGACAAGTCCATAAATCTCCTTTTACTATTACTACTGGCCTTTTTTTTCTGAAAGAAGGAAAGAAAAGCAGCCTGTACTTCTAACCATCTACCATCTCCTATCCCATTATACTCAGGCTTCTGCCCTATCATTCCATCACAATTCATGCAATTTGGATCACCAATGGCATCCTTACTTTCAAATACAATGAATACTTTTATGCTCAATCCATCTGGCCTGTTTGACACTGGGGAGTTCTATGCTCTTAAACATCTTGTACTTTTAAAACTTCCCATTCTTCCAAGACATGACCTTCCTTCATGCAGAGATATCATACATTTCTGGATATTTCTTCTCTCCATCCACAGATCCTTTTTGAACTATTGGACCCTAATGTGTTTTGTCCTTGGCCCTCTTTCCACTCTCTAATCCATTTCCCTGGGTGGCCTCACCTTGGGAATGCCACAAAAACTGCCACTTCTCAATTCTATTTCCACATGAATGACTCTTCCATCTCTTTTTTTCAACTGGATTTTTTTCCCAGTCTCAGGCCCAAACACTAATTGCTTGTGAAATAAACTCTACCAAAATGTTCTATGGTGCACATGAATTTTATTACATATACAGCTGAGCCAGGTGTGGTGACACATGCCTGTAATCCTAGCACTCAGGAGGCTGAGGCAGGAAGATCACCACAAGTTCAAGGCCAGCCCTAGTCAGCTACACAGTGACTTCAATGATAGTGTGAATAACACAGAGAGACCTTGTCTCACAAAAAAAGAGCTGATCATTCTTTCTCTGAGCTCCCTGTTCCCTATGCAGACTTCTACCATAATCATAAGAACAGGACAATTTTGTATTTGTCTGTCCTTCCTTCTAAACTGTACATTGTTTGGCTTTTCAGCACATAGTTCGAAGAAGGTCAGGATCTTGGCTGTACATTTAACTTTTTTTTTTTTTTGGAGGAACCGGGGATTGAACTCAGGCCCTTGTGCTTGCCAGGCAAGCGCTTATTCTAATGAGCTATCTCTCCGGCCCTGTACATTTAACTGTTGAATAACCTAATTAACTCTATTTTGAAAGATATCAACTATTTATTGTTAGTGTGCACTGTTTGGAAGCCAAAGAAATAAGGCTAACTTTCTGCTTTCTCTAAATATTGTCTAGTTGAAGAGACCAGGTATCCAAGAAAAGCCAATACAAAAGCAAAAGAGAGTAAGTTGGTGAGGAATGTAGCAAACAAAGAGATCAATGAGTCCATATCATTTGGAAACATTTCAAAGATGGTGAACTAGGGAAGATTTTAATGGGAAAGAAGGGAAAATAGTTTGAAAATAGATGTGAGAAGAGACCAAGGCCAGCTGTGATGGGACGTGTGTGTGGTATATAGATATATAGACTGCCTTGTTGGGGTAAAAGGTTCATAACAGGAAAGCAGAAGACATAAATGTGTGATAGATTGAGGAGGTCTTACAGTAACTGGAAGCCACCGAAGGCCATAGAAATTAAACAGGAGCAGGATTTTAGGAAGACTATTCTATATAAAACACAATTTGGGTGTTTTTGCTTTGTTTTCCAGGGGCAGGTGGGGAGGTGTTGAGACAGAGCTTACAATGTAGCCCAGGCTGGCAAACTAGTGGCAATCCTCCTGCCTCAGCCTCCCAAATACTGGAATTACAAGTGTGCACCACCATGCCCGACTGTAACAAAGAATTTGAAGAGAAGGAATGCCAAGATCTACCTCCTCCTTTAATTTTGTCTGTAGAAAAAGAGTTAGGCTCTGTAGTTGCTTTGTCAGCACTCCTAATTCTTGTGAATACTGTTGCATCTTCTGCAGGTCTTGTTCCTGGTTCTCTGCTATGGTGCTGGTCAGATCAGCTCTGAAATAGGGAATGGGAAAGATGTCCAAAGCCCAAGTTATCTTCTCTGAATACCTGTCCCAAATCCCTTCCACTCAAGGACAGAAATCAGAGGTTCAGACACTGTCACAATTCCCTTCTTGTGACATGAAATGAGAAATGATTCTCATTTCTAGAAGTGTTTCTGGAAAAAATAAACACTTAGGGGAAGGCACAGAAAGAGAGAGATCTTACTTTAGGTTCTCTACAGTGTCCTTGAGAGTCTCACACTGCAGGCTGCGTTCCCGGAGCACGTCCAGTGTAGTTTTCAACTGACACTCAACCTGGCCCAGTTCCAGGTGAGCAACCTGATTCTCCTGGTCTGCAAACTAGAAAAGACAAGAGAACGAAGAAAGGGGACCAGGGAGATGGCTCAGTAGAATAAGTGCTTGCCTGGCAAGCACAAGGGCCTGAGTTCAACCCCCAGTTCCGCAAAAAAAAAAAAAAAAAAGAGAGAGAAGGAAGTAAGGGAAGGAGTAAGAGAGGAAAGAGGGAAAATGAGTCCAAGTAGGTAACTTTAGAGCCCTTGGCCAAAGGGTTTCTTCAGTCTATCATCTCAAGCCTCACCTCAATGCTATTAGGCTTTAAGTGTTCCACTCCTGAGGTTTGCCAGCTCCCTTACCTCCAGGGTCTCCTTGAGGTCCTGTACCTCCTTGGCCAAAACAGCCTGTTGTTGCTGTAGTTCTGCTTGAATTTGTTGTAGTGCCATCTTTTCTTTTTGCCATCTGCCAGAGACCTTATGTTAAAGCCTGCTTGGTCTTACATGCTGGGTGCCTAGTGCCATAATAATCTGATCGGAACTCACTGAGCAGCCTGCTCTTCATTGCTCTGGGTAAGCTGGTAGAGCAACTCATCCTTTGTGGCCAGGTCCTGGGTACAGTGGACATGCTGATTCTGCAGCTCTTTTAGCTGTCTATCCATGTCGGCCAGAATCTGTAGCTGAGTCTGAAGATCTAAATCAAAAGTATCCTAATGACACCATGAAATCATCAAGCCAAAAAAATCACATTTTTGATCCAAAAGAGGTGTTCTGGTGTATTTCCTTGTTCTACCACCATACTCCAAACTTCAGCAAGCTCAACTGCTTACACACACGTACACACATACCTGTTGCTAAGTGACTATTTTCCAATTTCAGTTGTTCTATTTGGCCTTTGTAGTCCTCTAAATGGGCAGAGGCTTGTTCCAGCTCCCTGGAAATCTAAAAGATAGTTTTCCACCTATAATTCTCCCTGAATCAAGAATGCCAGGACTAAGAGCAGTTTTTCTTCTGCACAAGACAGTGAACAACCTTGCTTCTGGGCAGCCACACTGCATAAAGTAAAGCTGATCCTTCAGAAAAACATACATGAGGGCCAGGGAGATAGCTCAGTAGAACAAGTGCTTGCCTGGCAAGCACAAAGTCCTGAGTTCAATCCCTGGTACCGCCAAAAAAAAAAAAAAAGAAAGAAAGAAAAACATGCATGACAAAAATTGCTAAAGAAGATGCTGAGGAGCTGGGTGTAGTGAGGCATGCCTATAATCTCAGCACTTGGGAGGCAGAGGCAGGAGGATCACTTCAAGTTTAAGACTAGCATGGATTATATGGTGAATTTAAGCCTGAACTATGTAATGAGACCCTGCCTCAAAACAACAACAAAGAAGGGCTGAAAAGCAAAAGAAACAAACAATTCACCATTTATACCTGCTGCTTTTCCTCAACTGCAGCATCATGGTTCTGCAGGGCCTGTCGGCTTTTGGCTTTGAGTTTTTCTGTGAGTTGTTGACACCGACTCAGCAAAGCTGTCCATGTCACATACTACCAAAGGAAATAAAGAGGTCAGCAGAGCACATATGAGGCAAGCTCCTTACAGGGCTGGCCAAGAGAAAGGAAGTGGTTATGTGGGCCCCAAATACTCACATCTAGTTGCATGGATGTCCAGTCATGTTCCAAGGTAGAAGTCAGACTTATTGTCTGCTGAGCCAGCTCTTCTTGCTCTGTATGAAGGTCTACCTATGAGGGAAGGGTTGTTTGTAGAGGTCGCTAAGGGGGAGGGGTGTGTGACCATCTTCCCAGTGTGTCAGTGTGGACCACAGCAAAGAAATGCCCTTATTACCAGTTGGGCCTGAGCCTCCTGCAGAAGGCCTCTGAATTGCCTTGTGAATTTCAAGTCCTTTTCTAGCTGGCTGATGCGCTGGCTGGCATGTGCACAGAAAGCCTCCAGCACTGTCTCTGCCTGCATAAGGAAGAGGTTTGCAAGGACATGCGGGGTGGGGGAAGGAAACCACAAAACCCCACAGCCATCCAATACCTTAGTAATTCTTGATTCCCTAGGACAAACAGTTGTTAGGCCACTCATCTGTGTCTCAAGTACATGTCTACTGGAGCCCTGAGCTGGATACTGCCCATGTCCAGGACCAAACATCCAGCATCTTACCACATCCTTGCCTCTGAGGGCCACTTCCTCTCTGTGCCTTGCCTCTTCCCTTTCTGTTTTGAGGCTCTGGAGCTTTGCTTTCAATTTCTTCAGCACATCAACACAGCAGGAAATCAAAGTTTCTGCAAGCCTAGACTACAAGATAAGAATGAGATACTGTGTTTGCTTCTTTTACTTTTGCCTTTTAACCCCACCAGAGGCCTTTACCTCCATCTCATCTGCTTACCTCCTCACTCACACTTGTTTTATCTTCTTCTACATGCAACATGGACAAGTGAAGCAAGGTCATGAGCTCTTTAGAGACTAGTACCCATGATTGCTGTGGAGGGAAAGATGTCCAGGCTGGATGAAATTTAATCCCTAAGCAGTAAGCAAGGAAACTGGGGAGGAAAGCCACTGACCCCAATTCTATGCTCCTAATAAGTTCTTCACAAAGGAGATAGATTTAGGATCCTCCCTTCACCATCACAGCTATCATCACCTACCAACTGCCCAGGACTCTCCATTTTCAAGCTTCACAGGAGACCCTAGCAATGATACAAGGTCAATCAACACTTACCATGATGTTCCTGGCCTGCTGCAGGGCCTGTTCAATCTTTTGGCTCTCCTGAAGATGTTGAGGTTCCTTAGTTACCTAATCAGATAAGCAAAATTGCTTTTGTTTAAACAATGTGTATCAGCAGCCTCTCTTTCCCTCTCCTGTGAGCTAAAGAAGCTTCCCCTATCAGAAGCAGGATCAAGGCTTGTGGGAGACCAGATAGGAAGATTAAAACCTAACTGGACTTTTATACCTATGAGCACTAGAGAAAGGCAGGGTGCTGCAGAGAAATTAATACAGCTAAGATCCTGCTGTTTACTCAGCTATACACCCTGGAGGTGTGAGACAGATAAATCCTGTTTTATTACTTACGGCCCTGTCTGAGTAAATAAAACCAAGGGGCTCCAGTCACTCAGGGCTCTTTGGAGAAGGAAGACAAGAGCCTCCTGGCAGGCCGAGGACATAGCTCAGTGGCAAAGCAGCTGCCCAGCAAGTTCAAGGTCCCGAGTTCTATTTCTGGTTCCAAAAAAAAAAGGGCCCTTGTCCTCCACCCTATTCTGGATCTCTTTGTGTTTCATCTTCCTTGTCCCTTGGTCAGATACAAGCTCATAGGTTGGCCCCCTACAAAAGCTCACAACTAGATGAAGCCAAGCTAGAAAGAAAATTCAAGCTGGGAGTGTTGGTGCATGCCTATAATTCCAGCACTTGGGAGGGTGAAGTGAGAGGAGGGCCATGACTTTTAATTATAAATATTTCTGCACAAGATATGTTGATGTACTCCTGCAGTCCCTGCGTTCAGGAACCTGAGGCAGGAAGATCACTGTGAGTTTAAGACCAGCCTGGGCTATAAAGTGAGCTCAAGGCCAGCCTGAATTTCACAACCAGACCCTATCTCAAAAAAACAAACAAATAAATACATAAGTAAATAAATCTGGGGGAGATGGCTCAGTGGAATAAGCACTTCCCTGGCAAGTGCAAGGGCCTGAGTTCAATCCCTGGTTCTGCCAAAAAAAAAAAAAAAAAAGAATCATTTAAAAAAAAAAAACACCCTTTTTGGCTCTCTGAGCAGCACCATGGCGGTAGGCAAGAACAAGCGCCTTACGAAAGGCGGCAAAAAAGGAGCCAAGAAGAAAGTGGTTGATCCATTTTCTAAAAAAGACTGGTATGATGTGAAGGCTCCAGCTATGTTCAACATAAGAAATACTGGAAAAACACTCGTCACCAGAACCCAAGGAACCAAAATTGCATCTGATGGGCTCAAAGGTCGTGTGTTTGAAGTGAGCCTTGCTGACCTGCAGAATGATGAAGTTGCCTTTAGAAAATTCAAGCTAATTACTGAAGATGTTCAGGGCAAAAACTGCCTGACTAACTTCCATGGCATGGACCTCACCCGGGACAAAATGTGTTCCATGGTCAAAAAATGGCAGACCATGATTGAAGCTCATGTTGATGTCAAGACTACCGATGGTTATTTGCTTCGACTGTTCTGTGTTGGCTTTACTAAAAAACGCAACAATCAGATACGGAAGACCTCTTACACTCAGCACCAACAGGTCCGCCAGATCCGGAAGAAGATGATGGAAATCATGATCCGGGAGGTGCAGACAAATGACTTGAAGGAAGTGGTCAATAAACTGATTCCAGACAGTATTGGGAAAGACATAGAAAAGGCTTGCCAATCTATCTACCCTCTTCATGATGTCTTCGTCAGAAAAGTAAAAATGCTGAAGAAGCCCAAGTTTGAATTGGGAAAACTCATGGAGCTTCATGGTGAAGGTAGCAGCTCTGGAAAGGCTACTGGAGATGAGACTGGAGCTAAAGTTGAACGAGCTGATGGATATGAACCACCAGTGCAAGAGTCCGTTTAAGATCCAGATTTTTAATAGTGATAAATAAAGTCCTATTTGTGGGGGAAAAAAAAAAAAGTCTGGGATCCTAGGGGGTTTTTTTTGGTTTTTTTCTTTTTTCTTCTTTTTAAAGGTCTCAAGGCAGGCACGATGGCACACACCTGTAATCCAGCCTGTAACCCCGGCACTGAGGAGGCTGAGGCAGGAGGATCCATTCAAGTTTCAGACCATCCTAGACTACAAAGTAAGCTGAAGGCCAGCCTGAATTGTGTGAGAGCTTGTCTCAAAAAGACAAAAAAAGAAAAGGGTCTCATTATTTAGTCCAGGCTGGCCTCAAATTTGCTTTGTAGTCCAGGCTGGGCTTAAAACTGCTAATTCTTGTGCCTTAGTCTCCTGAGTGGGGACTTTCAAAACATGCACTACCGTGCCTAGGTGGGTATCTTGTTTTTTCAATTTATTTTTAAATGTATTTAGTACAGGGTCTATAGGGTCTCACTACACAGATCAAACTCACAGCAATCCTCCTGTTTTTAGCCTCCCAAGCACTGGGATTACAGGTGCCCCAGAGCATGGCCAGCACCACACACCAGAGATTGAGCCTCGTCCCTGGGTCTGCCTAAGCAGGCACTTTAACTGCTGAGCTATCTGGCCAGCCCTTGTTCTTTTTTCTTTAGGGGGTGGGTTGAGACAGTGTCTTGCTATGTGGTCAGGGTGATCTTGACCTCACTATGTAACCCTGGCTGGCCTCAAACTCACAACAAACCTCCTGCCTCTACCTCCCCAGGGCTAGGAGTCCTGTTTCCACTATTTAATTTTTCCTTATTAGAATGAACTGAGACTGAGACACCTGCTTTAGAGGGCTTACCAAGGTAGAGTACCACAATTTCTGTTTTTAAAATGGGTCTCACCATGCAGTTCAGGCTAGCCTTGAACTCACAATGAAGCCCGGACTGGCTCAAAACTCAGTGATCCTCCTGCTGTAAACTCCCGAGTGCTGTGATTACAAACATATGCCATCACACCTAACCAGATGTCCACTATTTTATTTATTTATGTACAGGGTCTTACTACACAGCTCTGACTCAGTGATCCTCCTGTTTTCAGCCTTCCCAGCTCTGGGATTATAGGTGAGCACCACCTAGCCCAGTCTAGTGGCCAATCAGCATGCCCAGGGCTGGGGCCAACTCAGTATGTGGTACCAGGGATCGAACCATGGTCTCTGTGCTTGCCTACACTGAACTATCTTGCTAGTCCTTAAGATCCCACTATTTTTAACTTCTGCTCACAAACTTGTATTTTTTTTTTTTTTTTTTTTTTTTGCAGAACCTGGGATTGAACTCAGACCCTTGCGCTTGACAGCCAAGTGCTTATTCTACTGAGCCATCTCCCGGGCCCCTCACAAACTTCTATTAAACATATTTTTCTATGTTATTTGTTATGGTTTGTGCCTAGTTGTCCCTCCAAAACCTCATATAGCCAATGGGGTAGCTTCTAGAGTTTGTGATTAATTCTTGATCCAATGCTGGGAGTATGGGCATGAGTGCTGCACCCACATTAGGGCAAGTAATCTGCATACAAATGTAAGGAGGGAAAAGAGGCTTGCTAGCTGCCTCAACTGCTGGCCTTCCCTTTGCTCCTTGTTGTTTTCTGCTGCTGCCATGAACGGCTGCCCTCTGCCATATGCCACTTTGCCTTGGAGTCAGCTGAGTATAGACTGAAACTTCCAATGTGAGCTAAATAAACTTTTCCTTCCTTAATTTGGGGTGTTGGGTATTTTGTCCCAGCAACAAGAAAAAAATAACTGAGACATTAAAAATTCTTAAAAAGGGGCTGGAGAGATGGCTCAGTGGTCTAAGGCACCTACTTGGAACAAGCTTGATAAAGCACA